GGGAGTGGGAGCCTAGACCTGTGGGTTCTCATGGGGCCCAGACTCCTGCATCTAAGGGAGAAGGAGCTGGGAGCCCGCGCTCTGAGGAAGGAGGGCCGCGATGGGCAGAACATTCTGGAACGTACCCTCCACCCCCGGAAGGAAGCCTGAATCCCCTTCTCTTGGCCAAGGTGGGCAGCTGGGAGCAGCAGACTCTCCGCCTCAAGTACCCGCTGTGGTCCCGCTACGGCCGCTTCCTGCAGCCTGTGGATGACACACAGCACCTCACCGTGGCCACGCTGGAGGAGAGGCCCTTTGTCATTGTGGAGCCCGCCGACCCCATTAGTGGCACTTGCATCCGAGACTCCGTGCCCTGCCGGAGCCAGCTCAACCGCACCCACAGGTGACAGCCCGATCTCCAGGAGTTCCAGTTTCAAACTCCCTTGAAGTCCGGCAGCCCTGGCCCGAGCCCCCTCCTCCCTTGGCACTCAGCCCAGTCACCTTGGACCAGTCACGGAACTCCTCCGAGCCTCAGTTTCCCCAGAAAGCGCTAGCCATAGTTTTAGCTGCTGCTTGGCTCTCCCTCCATACCCTCACCCCATGGGGGAGTCTGAAGTGGGGGGTCCCCAGCATCCCCAAGCCTGCTCGCTCCCCCGCAGCCCTCCCCCGGACGCCCCCCGCCCGGAAAAGCGGTGCTGCAAGGGCTTCTGCATCGACATCCTGAAGCGGCTGGCGCAGACCATCGGCTTCAGCTACGACCTCTACCTGGTCACCAACGGCAAGCACGGAAAGAAGATCGACGGCGTCTGGAACGGCATGATCGGCGAGGTGAGGCGGGATGCGGTCCGGGGAGGAGCCGGGCTGGGGCGGGGCCAAGGCGCCAGAGCCCTTGGGCCGGAGGGGCGTGGCCCGAAGGAGGGAAGCCGGGCTCGGAAGGGGCGGGGCCGGCCCCCCGAAGACCCGCCTCGGCCGCGGGGCGGGGCCACGGGGACGGACGCGAGACGGCGAAAGGGGCGGGGCTAGGAGGGCGGCACCCTGAAAGAAGGGGGCGGGGCCGAGGGGGATGCTGCCCAAATCCGGAGAGCGGGTTCTCGGAGCCTCACGGGGCCTGGGGCTACCTCCTCCCACTCCCGTTCCCCGCCTCTCCCATCCGCCTTTCGTGCCCCACTCTGCGTCCCCCTCATCCACTCTCCTAACCCTCTCTGTCCCCCTGTCTCTGGTCTCCTGGGGCCGGGCTTGCCCACCATCCTCCTCTATGTGCTTGAGCCAGCCGGGTTCCTTCACCCCCTTCCTTGCCCTCACCCCAGGTGTTCTACCAGCGCGCCGACATGGCCATCGGCTCCCTCACCATCAACGAGGAGCGCTCCGAGATCGTGGACTTCTCTGTCCCCTTCGTGGAGACGGGCATCAGTGTGATGGTGGCACGCAGCAATGGCACCGTGTCCCCCTCGGCCTTCCTCGGTGAGCCCGGGGCCCTGGGACGGCAACACTGGGGCAGCTGCGTGCCCGGGTCCCAACCTGGTGTTGCCTGTCCCCGCGGTGTGACTGGCCAAGTTGGCATGGCTTCTGAGCTTCGGTTTCCCAGTCTGTAAAACGGGAGAAGCCATCTTACCACGAGGCCCAGGACACTGGAGCTTCAGGAACCTTCTCGGGCACATTCTCCTCAAGGCCCTGCGCCTTGCATTCTTGGAGTCATAATTCTGTATGGTTTTTTTCTTAAAGACACCCCTCCAAATTGTATAAGCTTCAGGCCCCACAAGCCCCAAGTCTTCCCCTGTATATGAGATGAGGAAAAGAGATTAGCTTGGTAATGGCACATAGTAAGCGCTCGATTCACTTATCGGTGTTCACCGAGTACCTATCATGTGCCGGGCTCCGGGGCTGCACGCAAATCCCTGTCCTCTAAGAGCTCTTGGCCTCGTGGGGAAGACAGACAATAATCTCTTAAACGGATCCATGGGACGAAATCACTGCAGGTGATGATGAAGAGGATGAGAAACTAAGCCAGGGGAAGAGTTGGAGAGGTACAGGGTCGGTGCCATCAGGGGAGGGCAGGAGGGCCCCTTTAGGGAGGTGACTCGGTCCTGTGGAGATCTGGCTGGAGGGCGGTTCCAGGCAGGGGGAGCAGCGGGCAAAGACCCCCAAGGTGGGAACGCGTGTGGAGTGTTTGGGAAACGGAGCGAAGCCTGTGTGGCTGGAGGTGGCCGTGAGAGGATGGGAGGCGAGGACCGAGAGGGAACAGAGTGGATGATGCAAGGGCCTTGGTGGCTCTGGTCGGAGAGTGGGGTTTCACTCTTGCCGCGACGGCCAAGGTTTTAACTATAGGTGGTGGGGGAGGGGGGCATATGATCAGATCTAGGCTTATAAAACATCCCACTGGAGGCCCTGTGGAGGCCGGACGCCCCCGGGAAGGCAGAGGTCCGTGCAGAGCGGTGGTGGGTGTGGGATAAGAAGATGACAGTGAGGGTGAGACAAGGAAGGAACCAGTCCTGGGATGCGATTGGGAAGCTGACACCCAGCGGGTTGGTGGCCTTGAGGCGCACCGGGTCGGGATCTCACTGACCGAACTGGGAGACAACAGCAAGAAAAGTGCACATCAGGCCAAGGGCAGCAGGGCACGTCAGTTCTCTCTTGCTCTCTGAAGTCTGGGCAAAGCTCCTGGGAGCAGAAAGGCCGGGAGACAGCACAGCTCTTCCTTTGTGTTTCGTTTCTGTGTATTTCCCCCCGACAACATCTCCGTGGCCTTCTCTTTGCACCAAGGTCCCTGCGGGTACACCCTGAGAGGCACATGGGGCCCCTGCTTCAGCAGGGAAGTGACAAGGTCGTACTTGTGTGCCACGACGTTGCCCAGCGGAGGCAACAAGAGCGTTCCCGGATGCCGCAGTGACAGTCCGGGTGGTGACCCTGCTGTGACAGGGGCAGTGCTGGCCGCTTGCGCTTGGCCCAGGGAGGTCAGATCACCTGGTAGGAATCTCGGGGAAGTGGCGATTTGGGTTTATTGTCAGTGAAACCTCCCGGAGGCGGTGTGAGGAGGAGACACACGGATGCGAGTTTGTCTGGTAGGTAGGTCAGGGTGGTGCCCCTGTCAGGGGAGCGGTGGAGACAAGGCAGAGAGGGCGAGGCTCATTCTGGAACTGTGAGTTCTGGCTGGTTAAAGCAGTGGGTTCTTGAGAGAGTGATCATGCCGGAAAGGAGCGTGGAAGCGAGGCTGAGGGGCGGTGACTTTGTCACGGAGGCGCTGGGGAGCCACAGAGGGCTATGGGCAGGGGGGAGGCCAGGTCACCTCTGGGTGCAGAAGGATCCTCTAGGGCTGCAGGGGCCGAGGAGGGGGGTGGTGGCTGGAGAGGGCAGACAGGGGAGATGGTCC